GCAATGGGAAAATTTTAAAATATGTTTTTAAATTTCACAAATTAACTATAACATGAAAGTTTATAAAAAAAATTTGTTTTTTTAATTATAATAATCGACAGATTTTTTTGTTGATTGCTGAAAAGAACATCGGCACTACACGTATTGTAATAATTTTTTTTCAATTTTCAAATAAAAAAACATAATAATGGCCTGGCATGGGTCACTTTCAGCGCTCTTGCGATTATCTGAAGCACACAACATGTTATTAGTTATTTTAAAGAAAGGTCTATAAAAATTTGAACAGTAAGCGTTTGTGGTTGTGTAGACCGTTTTGTATCTTAATCCATCAACATTAGTGACGTTTCCTGTTAGAAATATTTATACAAGTCAAGTAACATATGCAATGAGTTTGACAAAAATTTGTAATTACCATAAGCCAAAGTTCCCCACCCAGAAACGATTGATTTAATATTAGTATACACGTCCTTGGATTCAGGAGCACAAACTGGGGAAACATTTTCATCAAATTTTATGTTGCTTTCAATTTTTATGAGGGCGATGTCGTTGGCAAAAGTCGGTGTACCATATTTCTCGTGAATACTACAAAACACTAGAAAACAATTTAAAATATCTCGAGGAAAATATAGATAAACTAGTTCACGAAGAAACAGAAGTTGATAATAAAACACCTATCCCCTTGCAAAAAAACGAAATGAATAAAACTGAAAAAGTGATAAAGACAGAGCAACAAGAAACATTATAATGATCTAGTAGACGAAAAAAATAAATGAAGTTAAACAGTAAGTTGAAAAGTCAAAAATGCCTTCAAGACCAACGACCGTAGATGTTAGAAGTAAGAGAAAAGCCAAAAACAAACCATGGAAAAACGACAAAAAATGATAGATAAAGTTCAAAGGCGAGTAACACAAAAGATTAAAATTTACGAAAAGCAATCATATAAAACAATATTATAAAACCGTGGATCGACTACGTTGGTTAAACGCAGGATCAGAAATTTCATGGTACTGACGTACAAGATTATAGAATGCAAAAATGACGTAGATTCATCTATATTTTTCAACTTTGCAAAGGGTTGTTGCACTAAAGGCTAAAAATGAAAACATTTTAAAAAAGGAGTAGGAGCAATAAAAGGAATTTTTTTAAAATTAAGAGTTATTGAATTGTTATTGTTGGAATTAGCTGGATAAAGACTGTTGCAGCTTCTACAACGCAGACATTCAAAGTCAGACTCAGTCAAATGGGGTTTTAATCTTATGTTTTTGTCATAATGACAGATTGGTTCTCACACAGAGTAACCACTATAATTTTTATGTTATGTTATGTTAGGTTGACCTAACCTCCTTCCTTTACAACAGAATCGTGCTGTGTTTATAAACAGAAAATTTAAAATCGGGTGCTACAATGTTAACTTATACTGACAAATAAATAAAAATGGAAACTTAGAATTATAATTGGCTTCACAGCATTTTGACAATAGCATTGGATATTACAATATAAACCAATGATGTGGCTCAAATCAGATACCTGCCAAGGAAACTCATGAGGTCTGGCTTCGATGTCTCCAACGATGATGGGTGTTACCAAGGGGTAGCTCCCGGCATCGGAGTACTTGCTCCTGTCACATTGACTATTTGCTAGTGTAAATATTTCAAAATTAGGTTAAAGATAAAAATACTTCTGTACTAAAAAACAATTTGAACTCTAACTATTCCAAACTGGAGGCACAGCTGCAAAATAAAGAATAAAAAATTTAAAGGGTATGAATAGTATTTATTTTAACAATTTTCCTATAATTTTACGCTAACAAAATAAAAAATAATTTACCAAATGATGTGGCTGTCAAGCACAGAATTAACACAATTAATCTGTTCATTTTGAGATCTTTAAATGCAAAATTTTTTAGATCAGTTAATTAAGCAAATTTTTAAATTAGACTTCGATGCTATTTTTGAAAAAAATTGACTTATCAGATAAAATATAAGCGCAGTTTCACACACAAGTTGGAAATGTGAAAGTGCTCCAGCGGCTTCTATAGTTTTACCTATCTGCCTAATTTCTATCCTTCATACGTAGCTCGGTTGTATCTAATAGATTTTTCTTGCGAAAGGAACTAGCGCAAAGTCGCAATTGAAAAGAACTAACAAAGTTAATGAAATAAAACAATAGAGTCATAACCTTTCTTTTTATTCGCCTTCCTTCTTTATGATGAAATCACACAGATTATTTCGGCTTTCAACCTCTTCTAACTAACGATCAAATCTTTTGCAGTTTGCACGCGCTTTTATTAACATGTAGATCTATACGAAATGTATGATATGTGTGCTTGTGCTACGTGTGCATATATTAAGCTAAAATACTCGGCTAAGCCGTCGTGCTGAATAGTACGTAAGTTTGAATGTAGGTATGTTTGTTTGTATATATTTGATTGTATATATTGATATTTAAAAAAATCGATTCATAACATATGCGCTAATGTAGGCCAATGACAGGCCATGCTGCCACGGTCGCTTGCCGCACTCGCTTCGCCACTGATGTCTCTAAAAAAATTTGGCAAAATATAAAGCAACCATATAATCAAATCTTTTTCAACCTGGATTCAAAATTTCACAGTCATATTAAATAACTTATTTATTGAAAATTCAAACGATTGTGTTGTTTTAATGTAATGAACTTATTAAGACATTAAAGCAATTTTTTAAATATCACAATAGAATTCATTTTGGTAAATAATTGAAAAAATTGAGAAATAGGCCAACAAAATAAATTTGAAAGATTTTGATGAAAATGTTTTAGAACAACAATTGGTATTGTCGAATTTTGCAAATATGTCAAAATTTTTTTAAGATATGCGCCAGCGAATTATATTTGACTACTTTTGATAGATATGATTAAAAACAAATCTAAATGGGTCAAATTTTTTAAAGAATAAAAGAATTTTGAGAAATTTGACGGATCCTGATAAAAATAATATAAAACAAAAATTATGCTAGTCAAATTTTGCAAATAATTAAAAAATTTGAAAAATTGTAAAGCAGGTAAAATTTAAAAGGTCTTGATAAATTAAAATTAATAAAAAATTAGGTTAGTCAAACTTTCGTGGCTCACAAAACAAATCTAGACAAAGTTAATAAGAAAATTGAACTTTGAGTAGCATTTATAAAATATTCGATGGAAAGATGTGGATGACATGCTTGACAGGTCATAATTGATTGATTGGTATGCTGAAGGGATGGGTTTAAATAAATAAATTAGGTTATTTTTAAAGTAAAATTTTTCAAATTTCAACATTTTTAAAATTTTCGCCCACCTCCTGTCAACGTTGTCTAGAGGCTTTCCTGCATCAAACATCTACATTTAAATATCTATTTATAATTTTGAAGGATAGTAGGCTTGTCATAAAACGTTATAAATGCGCATGCGCTAAACTAAAATGTATTTTTGAAGTTTTATTTTATAAATTTTCATCAATAGGATATTAGAATTGCGACGAATCCGAAATCACATCCTATCGAATCCGACACTAGAGATTCGATATAAACCTGTACTTCCGGTACTTTGGTTATAATCAAAGATAATTATCGAAGAAAATTGAGTTTACAAAATTATTTAATCGAATATTTTTAACTACAAATTAAAAAGATAAACTGAATAAACTTTTTGAATTACGTGTTAAAATTTGTCTACAAATCTTTAAAACCAAATATAACATTTTTAGTTTCTGATTACATGAAAACTTAGAAAACATATGTATTGTCTGCACTCTAGTTAATTTTTGTAAGGCACCCTTGAATAAAAACTTGAGATGGAAAACGAATCAAATTTGAATCGAATAAACCGAACTCGAACCCTATTTACAACCAATCCGAACTTTGAAACTACTGAGTGCGATTACTGTTTTTAGCAGTGATGTGGAACTTGTACTTGGTATTTGTACTCGAGTTCTACTCGAGAACCCATTTTAAGTAATATTACTTGACGCATAAATACTTATACTTGTTATTTTACAATGTACTCACACTTGTATCTTGTGCTTGAAAATTTACGAGTTCAACGTGCAAGTATTTTACAAAAAATTACAAAGTTTTAGTTAAAAATTTCATGAAAACTAATATTTTATTTCGGAAATTCGGTCATTATTGAAAAAAGAGAAACAAGATTTCTATTCCAAGTTTACCATAATTAATTATGATAAAATTTAATAATTTTTTCGCTGGATTAATGCTAATGATTTCAAATTAATTGAATTCAAATTCAAAAAAAACTAAGTAAAGGCAAGTTGTAATTATGAAAAATTTATTTGTCATATTAATATGGATGAAAAAAATTTCAACTATAATTTTGCATCACCATTGCATGGAATAATGATAGAGACGGTTTCCAGAATTCCGAAACCACGATTAAAAAAACCAACAAACATGAATTTGGTGCATGGTGAAATGTATGCTAACAAACAGCTGATTTGATTAATTTATTTAAATGATCTTCACATTAGAATTTAGTCATAAAATAATATCAATTAAGGATAATTTAGGAATGTAAGTTCGTAGTAAATAAATTTATGCTTTAATATTCTTGAGAATCCAATCTTCGAAATAGTTGACCCTGGCATACACTCCTGGATATTTGCTGGCACAACCTTTGCCCCACGAAACAATGCCAATCAGACTGAATGTTCCGTCTTTCTCTTTTCTGACCAGAGGACCGCCAGAATCACCCTAGAAATTATGCAACAATAACAAAGTTAAAAATTATTATAATTATGCAAAAGGCATTAATGATTTTTTGAAGTATGTTTCCAATTTGTACACATTACCGTTAACATGGAATTATTAACAAATTTTTTTTTCATTATTAAAATCGTCAGAATTTCTAATTGAGTGCCTACAAATTTTGTTATAAACTTGGCACTTTACACCGTGTAACATTTTTATTTCAAGTTCAAAACACAACAAAACAAAACAAGAACCTGGCATGAGTCCCTTTCAGCGCTGTTGCGATTATCTGAAGCACACAGCATGTCATCAGTTATTTTACTGAGAGGTCCATAAATACCTGAGCAGTAGGCGTTTGTGGTTGTGTTGACCGTTGTGTATCTCAAACCGTCGACCTTTGTGACGCTTCCTGTTAGAAATAATTATACAAGCCAAGTAACATAAGATATGAGTTTGAAAAGACTTGTAATCACCTGAAGCCAAAGCTCCCCATCCAGAAACGGCAGATTTAACGTGTGTGTACAGGTCCTTGGATTCAGGGGCACAAACTGGTGAAACATTTGCATCAAATTTTATGTTGCCTTTAACTTTTATGAGGGCGATGTCGTTGGCATATCTCGGTGTACCATATTTCTCGTGAATTACCCATTTTTCAATTTGAAACGTTTTCACAGCAGGATCGTTGGTGCCACTAATTTTTTTGTGGAGCCCGACTACAATACGCCAACTACTTGGAATCCTAAAATCATTCAAAATAATACTCATAAAATTGATAAATGAAAAATTATCTGGATAGATCAGAAGCGTAAGTCAGACATTAGCTGTGCTTAAATTATTCAAAATAAGTTGACGACCAATTTTTTGTTTACCACATTAGTTTTTGCAATACAACCAGTAGTTTTGTACAAAATTTGACCTAATTTTATTGTAGCAAAAAGTTGATAGAGTTTTCAGTTGAAACTTGTGCAAAGTTGAATAGACAATTTGTTTAATTCAGACTTCGCTCTAAAAAGAACAAATCCTGAAGTTCCTTTTTGTTTACGTGTCTAAGATAAATAAACAAATGAATAGATAAATTAAAGCAGGATACAAATTATCAAAATATAAACAGCAGACGACTTACAGTCCTTCAACGCAGTGAGCCGCCGTTATGATCCACTGATCATTGATGATGCTACCTCCACATCTGTGGGAACCTGTTGAGGACTGCAGGCTGATCTGCACATTTTAATTGATGTAAATAGTTTATAGTTGATGTTTGAATGTTGATGAAATAAATTCGCAACTAAGTTAAAAATCGACTTTGGTTTTGTAAATTTGTGTGATTTGTATAATGTAGGAAGTTAAGTCTTATGGCATTGATGCCTGACAGAAAAAATATTCAGCGGTTAATGCGTTGGTTTTCACAGAAAAATAATCTTATAAAGTTTCAATACGATGAAATAAAAATTGAATACCTTTGAACCAAATAACATGGATTGGCTATGAATGTAGAAACAAACTTTAGGAAAATTTAGAAATATAAGCCAATAATATGTTTCAAATTAGATAGTACCTGCCAAGGGAACTCATTTGGTCTGGCTTCGATGCCCCCAACGATGGAGGGGGAGGGTAGGAAGTAGTCTCCTGCATCGGGGTACTTGCTCTTCCCACATGGGCCTTTTGCTGGAATTAATAATTTAAAATTTGGTTGAAGATGAAAATATGATTAAATAAAAATAAACAATTTCAACTAACGATCCCAAATTGGAGGCACAGCTGCAAAATAAAAAAATTTAATCATTTTAGAGTTTAACAATTTTTCTGTAATTCTACGCAATAAAAATTAAAAAAAATAATTTACCGAGGGCTGTGGCTGTCAGGCAAAGAACCAACACAATCAATCTGTTCATTTTGAGAGCTTGAAATGTAAAAATCATTGGATGAGTGAATCTTACCATTAACTTAAATTGACATACAGAAAAACAAAGCAAAATCGATTATTAAAAATTAAACTTAATTGATGAATAAGAAATTTCCTAAGTTTAAAAAGATTTGAACTATAGCCAAACAGAACAAATACGAGCATGGGTTTGAACCTATAAGCTTGCATCACTGCGTGTTCCATGATTAACAAATTCTAATGAATATGATAAAAAACTAATCGAAGTATGTAACATGTTACTTCACCTGCTTTCTCTTTCGATTGAACAGACAAGAATTGAATTGCAACCATCGCATCGGCTTATATAACCTTATCGTCTGCTAAACTTTCAACGTTGCGACAACACTTGAAATGATTTCTGAAAATCATATCACTCTCAGAAAGTGTCGTAATTCAACGATGTACTGATTACTTCTAAAAGTTATTGTTTAAATGCCTCATTGTTTATTGTTTGATTAGATAAGAAGTGTATTTTTTTGAGAATTGAGCTTTCTCAATTCTTTATAATTTTTAAAACTGAATAGTCGTTTTAAGTCGCGTTGATTTGTATTATATGATTATTTAGTTAACGTGTCATGATTCGTTCAGTTAGAATCTGTTTAATCAAGTAATGAAATATTTATTCCAAATAAACTGATTTAGGTACTTATCGTTAAATGTGCCGCCCGTTTTTGTATGAAGTATGATGATTATTACAATAGAATGCGTATTATAAAACGTTTAAAATTTAATTATTCTCTTAATATATTTTATCAAGTAATTTTGCTTCAATGAGAACATTTAAAATTTAATTTAATTTTATCAATGTTATGAGAAGCTGGGATTACCTTTGTAGCAACCGCGATTATGAAAAACACCAGAAACATAAAAACTGTCCGCTTCAATTTTTAGACTGTCCTCTTGAAAACTCTACAACTGATAAGATAAATAATTCTATTGTTTAAAACATTTAATCAAATGAATATGCTAGGCAAATATCTGTTCTAAACTTCTGAATGATAATTTTTATTAGATAATTCTTATATGTAATTCATGTACGTTGTGACATGATCATTCATTCCACTTTTTTATCCTATTATTAGTGGAATCATTTCAATTTATTTTTTGATTATAGTTTTAGACAAGAAAAAGGAAATTTTTTAAAGAAAAATAATTGAAGTTTTTTCACAATCTTTAAAAACTCTAATTGAATTTTTTTTACGTTATGCCACACAACAACATCAACAAAAACGATCACACCAACCACGCAACAACATCAATCACTCACCAACCCCACATGAAGCACACCAGCCACACAACAACAAACCCAACAACAAACACAACACCAACCACACATATATGTTTTATATATTGTCTACTTTTGTTTTTAAACTATTTTATCAAAATATAAGTAGTACAGAGCGAAAATATTTTTTGAGGATATTTCTGAGCTGACCACAAGCATTCTCGAGGTCGCCGCAATCCACCTCTCGTTGAATATTCTAGATGTTAGCGTTTAAATTTTTAGTTAAGATTCAGTAAAACCATTTTCCTACATGACGACATTGAACTTATTGTAACTGATGCTTGCCTTGATCATTTTCAACTTCAAATGAAGATCAGAAACCAACGAGCAATGGTCTGAACCTGAACTGAATTGATATTTGTACCTAGACATATCGTTGCCCTTTTGATTCGATTGCTAAATTTTTTGTGATAGGGCATAAGAATTAAAATTTGATTTTGTATTTGGCTGTATTGAATAATTTGTGATGATTTCCATGCTCGGAGTCATTGCTCAGGCAATTTAGACCATGAGTTTTATATTATTAATCCTGAACTAAACCATATTTGCGTCTTTCTGCAATCATTAGCGTCTTTCTGCAATCATTACAAAATTAACTTAACATAAAAAATAACTACTGTACAAATATGAACTTCAACTCCAAGCACATTGTAATACATATTTTTCTTGTTAAAAAGCCGCAGCTGGACTTCGGTGTGCATTTTCAGAGATCGGCGCCATGTGGTCAACCACTGAGTTCACAAAATTGTTCAAGCATTTGACTTGCAGGTATGAATAGGGGAAATATTATTCTTGTGAAATGTTGAATACTAAAATATATTGCTCATAAATGTTTATTTATTCATTCATATTAATATAATTAGTTGAATGAATTTCTAATGAAGGTACTGGCTTAAAAGGAATAATATAGCCTGCTTCCACCACAATGGTATTTGTTATCCGGACATTTCATGGAGCACTGTGAAGAAGCTATGGAATAATTGGCACGGTTGATGCAGTAACACTTATTTTCTTTCTGTTTCGAGTTTTTATTTTACGGTTCCATCACGTTAATAATTCGCAAATAAACCTTATTATCCATGTGTTTTGTATGTTCGGGAGATAAAGAAAGTTGTAAATTTTTAGCCACGGTCTCACGTGATACGGCGGTATGCGGTTTGGGTTAGATCATAGTGAGCCAAATTTTTGAATGTTTTCGATAACCAGACACTCGCTGACTCAGGTAGCACTTCCAAAACCAGCACGGTTGATCACTACGTGAGCCGTTCGTTTTGCGAAACGCAATGCATGCGTGTGCATGCATTCTGTGCATCTGTGCAGCTCTTTCAATTCTTCTTTGGCCTTTTTGGTATTTTTTCAATTTTTATGACATTTTTGTAAAATAAGAATATTTTTTTAACACAGTGACTGACAGGACTATCAACTTACTCCTGATAACATGCTAGTTCTTTAAAAAAGTGTGCAAAAGATATTGAAATAAAAGAAGTTTACCCGTGACTAAAAACTTTTTCTGATAATACTTGGTTTTAGTACTTTATATAAATAATAAAAATAAGCCCAAATAGTTTATTAATTTATTGAGCATTTAACCAGAGTAAACATCTAATTACATCCTCCAGCCGCTTCCAACATTCAATCAATTTTTTGTTTGAATAATCGCATGCACTCCTTAGAAGTTCTCGAAGGATAATAACCCACGTAACATGAACAGTTCACAACATATTATAATAGCTAAGTGAACAAACTAAACAGAAATTATTTATACATGCATATATACAAAGTAAATCAAGAAATACCAAAAATTATATAACCAAGTTTAAAAAACTAGAAACCAGTCAACATTTAATAAATGAATAAATAGACACTATTAAAAAAATTGTTTAAAAAAAGTAAAATTTAAGGTGACGATGAAAAAAAATTTAGTATGTTTTGATAGTGTAGTGGTGTGAAAGAAAAACAAACACATAACAAAATAAAAGGTAAAGTCGTAAGAATAGTAGTCAGTCACCTACCTACAATTAAATTACTCTCTTGTATTTCTAAGATTTAGGGATTTCACATGTTTTACATGTTTGAGGTATTGAATTTTACATATTTTAACGTTTATAATTTGCCTTTTCTGTATAATTTATTTATTTTTTATTTTTTTTTTTGTTAGAAACTTTTTAACTAACTTTTTTTTAAATAATGCACTTAAATCCGCATCAGCAAAATCCGCAGAGTTTTAAAAATTTTTCTTGTTATCATAATTTCTTCGATTAATCCTCCAGATTATTTAGCATCTGAAAATTTAATTGCGTTTTTCTCTAGAATTCTCTTGGTATTTTTCCAGAGTACAGACTGCATTTACTACAGGTGAAATGAAGTTGGATACCAACTTCATTTCACCTTTGGTTTTTATGAGAGCAAGATCATTGGAGACATATATCTCGTGAATAACATAATTTTTGATTTCCTAACTCTTCACGGTTAGAGCATTGGGTTCTGAAATTTTTTTAAGGAATCCAACAACCACGACATGGTTCGCTGGCAATCTGAAAAATTGAATTTACTGTAAAAAATGCAACCCAAGAATTAAACTATGTTTTAGCAAAAAATTAAAAAGTTCCAAACAACGGGAATTTCTCTAGTTCTTTTTAATATTCTTTATACATTTCTAATAATCATCAAATGTTGTAATCTCGAAAGAGTATTTCACGGAAATTAAAATGATTACTACGAATCGTTAATATCGGCAATGGACATTTGTTGAATAGATGATAAAGTTATTGACTAATATAAGATTATCTTCAGTTTTATTTAATTAAATTGTGTCTAAATTTAACTTATTTAGATTAAATGTTAATTGTATTCTAATTATTAACCGAACACTAATGGATGAAGTTTTCGTTATAATTTGATTTTCTTATAGTAGGTAATAGGTATGCAATTAAACACAACAAATTCAATATAAATATGTTTAATTTAAAAATTAGATAAAATAAATTCAGTAACATTTTAAGCAGTTTTTTAATTTCAATCCAAAATGAAATTACTTTGAAAATACAATGAATAATTTCACAACAAAAAGTAATATGATGCTGTACTAAATTTACATTGATTGGTTTTTATAAGTTGGACCATTTCTCTAGAACTGTTTTTTTTTCTTC